AAAATTATTTAGGAGAAACTCACTATTATTTTTTCTCTAAAACTCTCTCTCTTTCTCTATGTTTTTTTGCACTCCAAAATGGGATAATACCATATGTGTTGTAGCTCACACATATATATAGAGGTGGTGAGGCGGTTATCCATTATCTTATTTGTAGCTATCCACTTGTCAAGAAGATAAAGCCAAAAGTCTTAATGAATAAGAAAATCAAAAGTGGCTTTACAACCAACAAATTGAATATTCTGATTGCATCATCTGTCTTATTTTCTTGACAAAAATCTGAGTCCTACATGAAATTGAATTGACATTGGTCCATTGTAAGGGAGAAAATGGCAATGAAATGCCGTGTTCAAGGAAGAGACTCCATTGAGGGTAAATACGATTACAGGCCGGTCACGTGGTTCAAGCACATGAATTTTTAATTCACAGACTCTTACAGCAAAGCTTGCAACAGTAAAAACACTACAAAACATTACATGGTTGTCATATGATACACGTGAATTCTTGAAAGACGTTACGTTATATCTCAAAAGATTAATTTATTATTTGTTGGATTTTGATACACAATAAATTTCGAACGATAATGTTAAAATGAATTGGATTATATATATATACATATATATATATATATATATATATATATATCAACACCATGGTGATGGCTCATTTACCCTATATCTTGGCCAAAACTTGGTTTATAACATATTCCTATATATTGCCTCCTTTTGCATACCGTAACCGAGTGTGAATTTGCAAGAGAAAAAGCTGTTGTTCTTGTTATCCTCCTCTTTCGTGCCTTGAGTTTAACTTTATTTTTCCATTGTTTCTCCTCCTTTGTGGCTGCAAATAACTACAATAATCTTGTCCTTGTGGGTGAGAGATTGTAACAACCGAAGTGAATGAGTTGTGGGTTTAGAGACTTTATTTTGGTTGGTGTTTGATTGATTTTGGTGTTGAAACTGAGCCCGATAGGAATAAATTCTCCGACAAATAGTATCAGAGCACTAGGTTGTGCAATATCTGTCAAAAACTTGTGCAAAGCCGATAGAAATAAGGCTGAACAGAAGTTGGAATTGGAAATCTGTTGAATTTTTTTTTTTTAACCACAGCTGTAATTCACGATTCCGCCCAATCTAGAGGTCGGTTGGTAAAATCAAAGGCATATTTCGACTTCAGACGACGAGATTGAGCTTCTTGGCTAGTGCGTGAGGGCGTGTGGAGCGACGTAGGTGGCCGCGCGTGGGGTCCAAAAGAAACTCTCGCTTTTTCAATCATGATTATGAACAAGGAGTCTTTCTGTTTTTAATGAAGAGACACTTCCAGCACTAAGGGGAAAAAATATCACATTTTCAATCACGGGATGCAATTGCTCCAAATAAGGAAAAAAAATAGAAAAGAAAAATGAAGAAGATGGCGATCATACCATAACTCTAAAATAGAGATTATCCCTCATGGACAATTCCTATTTTGAAGATCCACGCCATGCAAATGAATTTTTTTTTTTTTGGTGACGTTTTTGTTAAGAACCTATATTGCCCATTTAATATACAACAAAGGTAGGAATATTTGAAGCGTCTAACTTCTGCTATAATTAATTACACATGTTGTTCAACCTGTTGAAATCAATGATGTGTACTTGTATATTGAATATACTATGGTCTACATTAATAAGTTCATCTCCAGCACAAGTTTTTCGTTGTGAAACCATATATAAGTACTACAATTCATCCCGTTGAAACCCCATCTCACTTGTGCTTTTTACAATTTCTTCAACATTTGCCTAATTCGCTCCGTAAAAACATTTTCTTACCGCAAACAACATTAGAAGCATATCACTGAATTATAAAATTCAAATAATATAAAAATGAACGATCAAAAAATTATTAATACGACATTAATAAAACGCAACTTGCCAATAATATTTATGAAAAAAAATAGCAGAAATTACAATGGCAAAGCAATGGTGCTAACGAATGTCAATGTTGATATTTGATCGATTAGTAAGAATACTTAAGGATGAAAATGGCATTCACGTAGTTTGCCAAACTGAGTGAAGCCCGCAAAAGCCAAAAATATAGCATAAGTGTTGTAAATTCTTCAGTTCCTTGCAAAACATAATCAAATTAAGCAGGGATTTGGTTTAATTGGATTGTACTCAAGATGATCTATGGTTGGACTATTAAACTAAAAATAACAAGATCTTTGGTTATATACTTCAATTCTTGTTATTCATGCAATCGGCAGAAAATTTTACTAATGTTGGACTATGTTACTTTGATTCTTATAGAAGTATGAAGTAGCTGTAATGGACACCTAAAACTCTAACAAGTATGGGAGGGAGGCGTTCGATATTTCATAGTGCTCACATATCTCCATAGAATTTCAATATTGCTTGATCTGTTCTCTAAGTAATATTTCATTAGAATCATTTTGCACAAACTAAGGCAAGAGGTTAAAAAAATCATGATACTAAACTATATCTACGTGAGAGATGCTTGGTGTATAGCACCGGTGTACACCAAGTTACATAGCTCTCTCACAACAATAGTGGGGCCCATGATTATAAAATAATCGTGGGGCCCACGATTGTAAGAGAGCTGTGTATAAGGCTGTACACTAATGCTGTACAAACAGCTTTTTCCATATCGACATATCCTAACTTTAAAGTTTTGATGAATTTGACAAGTAGACCTGTATTTGAGCTGGAAATCATTACTCGAATTTAAGTAACATAGACAAAGGAATGTATTAGTAGTTTCCTTGCTAATATTATTTCTTTTGCCATTTTAGCATTTCTGTTCATGGTCACTTCAGTTTGACTCTTTATTTGTTTCCCCTCAAAAGGATCCTACAAACCTTCAAATGTTTAGGTTTCTCGAGAATTGCATGTTACAACTCTAAAAGGTTCATCGATTTGAATAAATTTCTTCCAGTAGTTCCCTTGATAATCTGAAAGGAATCACTACACTAAAATATTTCATATTTCCTACATGCAATCCATGTGATTACTTTATTATTGGTAGGGTAGTTGAGATGGTTTGCCAGGGTATCAAAAGCTAGATTCAAGGTTCACCATCACCCATTTATTAAACTTTCATTTGTTGATGGAAAATGATCCAGCCTGCACATGAGGTCACACGTCGAAGATAAATTGTGGATCAATTTATTTATTTATTATTTTTTTCAATCTCTAATAGTTTAAGCTTATAGATGACCACCATCCACTTTCTATCATAACTCCCTCCCTCTGGAAATGGCCTAATGTACAAAGCAATTCAATTATCATAACTTGGACTTACAATCCTCTGTCACCCCTCATATTATTGTCACATCATCTTAACTATTGAATCAAAATCCTCTTCTTCATACATCCTAGAGAATCAATGGAACATGTACTTTCACCGTTCAGTGGGTTAACCGATTTTAAAGCTTATATTTAGTCCGTTACTTAAGAGATGCTACTACAATTTTGTTAAATAATTCGCTAGTAGTATTAGATCAGAGTAAGCCTTGATTGTGAGTTTAGCACCCAGCTAGCATCCATCATCAACGCATGTCATATCTCAAGTCCTCCAAAATTACAAAGGATAGGTCATTTCAGTTGAGAGAATGAAATGGGCCCCACTCATTCAGAGGAAGTAGTGTAATTTTTCCTTGAACACCGCTACACTTACAGTGTTTAGAGGGCTGTAATCAGTGGGCCCCACCCTAATTAGAGAGGACCGTAAAAATTACAATCCTCTAAACACTGTACACGTGGTATTTTCCTTTTTCCTTTATACGTTCTGACTCGAAATTACTTCTTTTTTTTTTTTAATTCCTAAGGAAAACTCGCATTAAACTAACTTTTGCTTAATCTTTTACATACTTCACATGGAAGATTAACTCCAGATCATTTGAAGGAAGCTAGTAAAAGGGGGAAGAGTTCAAGTTAGTTAGAAATCTGTTGTTAGAAGTCTGTTAGTCGTTAATGGTTGTTAGTCAGCTGTCACTAATTGTCTATAAAGTCAGCTAACTCACTCGGTAATTGAGGAGTGACAGATGATTGTGAAATAAACCAGAATTCTACTTTTCTCTCAATTTGCATTATCCCCTTTTCCCCATTTTCCATTTCCAGTTTTACTTTGTGCCAACATACTACACACCAACACTTCTTTTTCACACAAGTATATGCTCACATTTTACACAACATCCATTTATTCTTTTATACCCTAGCTTGGTAGCTTCAAGATATGTTCATCATTTTGTCATAGAGTACTATTACTGATATGCCATTTCCCCATCATTTTGGGGGTATTTTGCACTATAATATTCCTGCATCACTATCGCATACGTGCTACTTTTTCCTCACCAAGTTAAAATGATCTCGTATAGCAATCGGTGCAAAAGTAGAGTTTCCATAGTCATGAATACATAGCATCAAATCATGCTCCGCAATTGAACTTCCTATTCGTCCATGCTAAAAGTCAAATATATTTGAAAGTCAAAACTGCCTCATCAAGACCAAGATAAAACAAATTGCAACAAATATTACTGATAAAATATTTATATAAGATGCCACGTATTTTGCACCCATAACAAGCATTTCATCTTCCGAACAATATCACATTGTGTCATGTTATTCGTCAATCTCATATGAAACATGAAATCTGATCAAGGAAGAACAGAAGAGAATCAAAATTACTATGAGCCTTCACATTGGTGCTTGATTACATCTATGTAAAAATCTGCTTCTGATGCATCGACTCTCAAAGTGGCACAAATGCAATTCACTGAATACTGTGATGCACAGACCTAGCCAAGATATTGACTAGCGGGGAGGGACGAGAGTGAATTTGTAGTACATTCCTGAAGACTGATTTACATTTATGAACTATTATTTGCTATTATGATACAACAACATAACACCAATCTATGCTCGGGGGCATCATGCATAATACTTAGCATTTCTCTGACCTTAACAAATCCATAAATCGAATGAAGAGACGATCAGCTCCTCTTCACACTGTACACAATGCCAACAGAACTGCAAGGAAAACAATGGCATGAGCATCCCAGTGACAAAATAAACACCAATGCATAAATATTATACGTTTTAGATATATATAATTACCTCTGGGTCTTAAACAAATTGAATTCACAAATTCAACTCTTAATTAATAGTAAGTAAACCTCATATACACGAGAACAGCAATATAGCATGCCAATCTCACACATGAATATTCGCCATCCATAAGCATGACGGTTTATTTATGTAGATAACAATGGGATTTTCACATTGGTATCCACTTCATAGCAGCATTTCTCATATAAGTAAATAAACTTACTCACAAATGACTTCCAGATCATGCCGACAAACCTAATGCTATCTTGAAAGTTACAGCATAGGATTTCTCAACATGTACGAGTAAAATATAAGATGTTGACGAATGAATAAACTCAAAAAGTCCTAATACTTGCTTCAAATTGTGCAACGCAAATTTAGTGTTTTGCCTGTTGGCAATTTACATAAAAATGCATAATAGGAATACAAAATGAAAGCAACATTTAACCTGTACAGCAGCTATTTTATACCTCTTAATATTGGAAAGTGAACCACCAGTTCCAAAAAGTTGAAAACTAGAATTGGCAATTATATTTTATGGTAATCAATCAAAATTTTTCATCTGCACCTATGTCCCCTAATTCATATACATCCTATTTCCTTTAGGAATGTGTGCGTTTCATGAGGAGTCATTTTGTGAGAAGCATGTAGAGGACATAATGCACAGGAAATTGCCCTCTCTCACATTAACTCTATTATCCACAATTTCACGTTTATACATGAATTTTATGGAAGGGACCACAACGACTATGTATGATGTTCGGACTCGAGTACGGGTATACATCTAAATGTCGGATCTTTTATTTTCTAAAATATAAGATAAGAAAACATGGCTAAAAAGAATCCAAATTTTGAACACGGAGTACATGGGTACGTCATTCTAACTTCGTTTTCTTTTTACTAACCCAGAATGTTATTTTAAATAGACAAAAATCAATTGTTCACAAAAAAGGAAATGAGTATTGAATAAAGGGTTAAGACGAATATAATAGAATTTTGAAGCTTAGTTTTCAATTATGGAAAGTTAATTACTAAATATTATATAAAATAGAGAATAAGAGACTTTATTACAATTTGAACTTAGTGAAACACTAAGGGCCTATTTGGTACAGATTTTCATTTTCTACAGTAAATCAATTCTCATTTTCAACCACACATTCTTCAATAAAATAATATTTTCCATCACATCAATACTTTTTGCTTCTTTTTAACCATATATTTTCCATCATATCATGTTTGGTAAAAATTTTCCTTTTCTACAGTAAATCAATTCTCATTTTCAACCACACATTCTTCAATAAAATAATATTTTCCATCACATCAATAATTTTTTCTTCTTTTTCAACCACACATTTCCCATCATATCACTGTTCAAAAATCAATTCTTCCCCCAAAAATCACTACCAAACACACTCTAAGTAGCACTATATGGAACCTATTGTCATTTTATACAAAGAAATCCCTCAACCATCGATACAAAGAGAAACAAGGAAAGAAAAGAAGAAAAAAGAAAGAAGATAAACAAGGGAAAACTATGCCGCCACCTTCCTCCACCCTCTTAGCGGCGACGCTAGGTTTACAGAGAACAGAAACGGGAAAGAAGAAACGGAAAGAAAAAAAAGAAAAGAGATAAAATGTCCGGTTGAAATTTGAAGGATCCGACACATATCTCATATCCATACCCATGTCATGTTGTGTTGACACGAGTACTTCGTCCATTTCAAAGAGTCCGAGCATCAGATGCGACTATTTGTATGAAAATTGATGGTTCTGACTGATGCAGCACAACACAACACAAAAGAAGAAAAAAGGAGTAGTGAAAGAAAAAATAGACAAGTAGGTACAAGAACTAGAAATTGACATTTCAATATCTCAATGATCAATAGTCTACCTAAATAAAAAATTGATGCCTATATATGCTCAGAAGTTAAAAAACTCTAAATGGAAAATTACCAAACTAACAATATGGAAACTTTCCTATCTTGAACCTAACTATTAAGGGAAGAGTATAAATAAAATATATGGAAATTCCTCAAAATAAATCCTCATTTCTTTTCCTAAAATAACAGCCTAATATTATCTCGTCTTTGACATAATATCTATTAGGATCTCCATTACTGACGGTCTGCACTTGATTAAAAGTCAGGCATAATGGTACTAAATATTATGCAGGTTAGCCTTGAACTAGAGACCTAACAGCAAGTGAAAAAAAAGGTACCATCATAGAGAACACGACTCTGCTTTATAAAATGTGCGATAATATTATCACGTTTCATCATATTCCTGCTAGTTAAACAATATTCTACAATTCTCTATGTTCATGTCCCAAGTACATTCTAGTTTACTTGTGAAACAATATTTTATGAATAATGCTATTTATCGTTATGATGATGGAATATTGGTGATGTGGAAGTCTATGTGGAATATTGGAAATGAGCAGTTCAATTTTCATGAGAAAGAAAGGGGGGAGGAGAGAGAGAGAGAGAGAAATATGAGGGATAATAGATTACCACATCACCGATGTTCCATAATCACGATGATAAATAGCATTACTCATATTTTATGTTTTCAATTAATATTCTACTCAATAAAAAATTAAACCTCATTATATTGATAGCCTTGTGCCCTTTTACCTGAAAAAACCAAATTTTTATGCTCTCACTCATCTTGTTTGATAAATAGGCTTCACAGTTTCATACATGCGTGGACATCCAAAATGAAAATAAGATGTTTTCTTGTGTTGATAATGTCTCTATCCCTAAAGGAGAAGAAATATAGCATTGGGAAGAGTGATCTAGTTTGTAATCCGTGTACATGTACATTTACATATAACTTAACTAAGCCTATAGTGAAAATGGTGAGAATAAAGGACAAAGGGCCAGTAGAAAAAGAGCAAACTGTAAAAAGTATCTCGTGTATGTTTTCTCCATTTCCATACATCTATAGTCCAACCTCTTTCTTTCTCAAGTCACGTAGATATACACACAAAATAGATGCAGACAAACATTCCATTGATTTTATTTATCTATTTATTTATTTATTTTCTGGAGGTGACAATTTAGAATATAGATTTGCAACTTGGCATTATATAGCGTTGTCATTGACTACAGTAATATCAAAAGAATGTTTCGATTAGAAATTAGGTTATTCATAGCCTTAATCTCCTATTTATCAAAGCATTAGAAAAGGCAAAAGCATTGGACAAGGACTATCTATTGTAAACTAAAATAACAGAGTAATAAAGGAAAACATATTGAAAGTCTAAATTGAGAAATCGTACACACACACACAATGTCCAAGTAAGTACATACCTACGTACCTACATACACACATACATGCATGCATGGTTGATGAATTCTTTGATGCCATTTAGTAATGGTCTGTTGGAATATCAAAATGGTCTACAATTTTCATCCAAAACTTCAAGAAAATTGGTGGCAAAAATTGATTCACCATCAACTTATCATTTGAGGCCATGAACAGGATTAATATGTGCAATGTCATTCCCAGATTCATTGCAATGAGGACCATCTTGACACCAAATTGCAATTTTAATTTATACTTTTATATAACTCTTCTTTTCTAGAAATCTATAAATTCAAAAATCATCCAATATAAAGGATCCATTCGCATTTGAAAGTATTTTCCATAGGCTAATAATACCAACAGAAGCTATTTGGTTGGTAACTTTTTAAAACCATGATTTTACTCATATGAGCTTACAATATTCTAAATCTATGATAATAAAAATTGAAAATCAAGCAAATGAAGTTGCAGTATAAACTAAAAGTACAACAAATAATATTAAGTTGACAACTGAATTGTCCAATATCACTAGCATCAACATCTGAGGTATCTGCATCCAAACCACAACTTTGACTGGAAAAAAATGAGTGAATTGATTCTACGTATTCTTTCATAAGAAGAAAGGTCAGAAATTTCTATATTTGTAACATAGTAAGGCGAAGTTGTCAACAGAGAATTTCCAGTTGAATTAGGATGCAAGTTGGGAGAACCCTTAAGAAAAAGGAGCCTTGATTTCAAATACAGAGATTTAACCAACTACATCGCAATTTAAACTACCAAACCATATTAAAGCTTGATAGTTTAGGTGCATGATAAGAGGCAGACATAGCTGCTCCACCATTCAAAAGAAGACATTGCCAGATCATAAGCCCCAGAAGAGGCAAAAGGGATGGAAAGTCATGATCCTTACATTCGAAAGAACTGTGCAAGAAGCAAAACTATATACATTCTAGGTGCTTCGAAACAGCCCTGATTATTCAAGTGAGTTTCACTCAGATTATAGAGAAATATCCATATTGACCACCCAATTAAAAAAAAAAAAATTCAATGGAAGTAAGTTTTTCTTTCTAGACATCCACTACTTGGAGTTCGGCCCACCGATCAATATCAATATCAATATCAATAAATACTCCCAACATTTTGCTAGTTTGAATTTTAAAAAGAAAAAAGAGAGAAAATAAAAGAAGCTATAGCTGTCCTACGTGCTTCAAAGCAGTCCTAATTCTCCAAGAGAGATTCACTCAGATTATAGAAGCATCCCTCAGTGTCTTTTCCTTGAACTAACAACAACCATGTGATCCATATTAACAATAGGAAACTGTCAAGTCTCTTGAAAGGCTCTTTTGGGCAATGTCCTTGGGCATGCTGAGTCCAAAGTGCCCCAGGGAGTAAAAGATAAATACATTGGAGATTGCCCACATGTTTCAAGGCAAAACCTAGAAGAACATCATATGAAAATTCTCCTTTTTCCCATTATATCTTTTCTTCCATAGATACAAATCTACAGGGATACCTCAGTCACATGCAACACCATGGATTAGGGTATACTTCCCTTGCCTGTATTTGAAGGTTTCAAGCTCTGTAACACGGACACTTCAATTAGGGTAACGTGTCCGTGTTGGACACGAGTCGATACCGTTTATATTAGAAATATTATATATTATTAATTCAAAGTTATTAGCAATTAACAAATAAGTACTCATGTTTAAAAGATCAACAAAAAACTTAATAACAAGTATAAAACTAAATTTATACTATATAAATGAAAAATTTTTAAGAATTTAATCAACGTGTCGATGACATGTCGTGTCTGTACTTTTTTTAAAAATCGTGTGTCGGCGTACGTATCCGTGTCGGACACACGTATCCGTGTCCGTGCATCATAGGTTTCAAGCATCTATCAATTATATTTTTTACTTCCTTTCTTTTTCTTCTTTTTGTATGAAATATATTATTGTGAATATTATGTTCAAGATTAAACAAGATTATTTACCGTCCTCATCTTTGATAGCAAACAATTCTCGTGCTACTTAAAGTCCATCGATTATTTTAGCTTCCCACTTAAAAGAATATTTTATTATCAGTTGCTAATCTAGCACTCAAGAAAATTTGGAATTGTTCCTGCTCATTTTTGTTAAGTCAGCTATTATTATATAAATTGACAAGTCGAGATGGTGTAAGTTGCAGATTTCACAGAATTTTAATTTTTCTATTTCACTTCATTTTCCATGCTTTTCTATAATTTTAACAATAATTGCACCATGGCTCATGATATGTGAAATGGTTCGGCACGCACCATGCATTTAAACATTTCACCTTCGGGCAACAAAAGAAAGATGGACATAATACTAAACCACATGGAACTACATAGCTACTTGCTAGCCACTAGCCATAGTTATTTAAATGTCTAAAACTTCAAGTTTACAGACCAGTTGTGAAGCAATGAATGTAGGGTTTCAGAAGCACAAAAATAAACCAGAAAACCAGATTCATTTTTTATTCTTATGCATATTTCAATACTTCTCCATGGATAAACCAAAGAGACTTCCTCCCTCAAGAAAAGCTACAGACAACCAGAAAATAATACAAATATAGCAACATTGTAAATCAGAATATACATAATGCTGTAGTAGCAGTGCAAATTATAGTACAAACAGGTCCATCAACTGATATGTAAAGCTTGAGCATTTGCAAGATTAATCATCAAGTGGATATGTCTCAGGCATGCACCAGAAAATTCTCAAGAAGTCCAGCTTAGACTTCAATGACATAAATATAAGACCACACACGACATAACAACAATATTCATTCTTGTTGCAACCAAAAGTGGTCAAATTTATGAATAGGGGGCCCCAGACCATATATTCGTAATTCAAAAATAAAAAAGATAAAAACTGGAGATAAATTGACCACATCCTGCGATTATGCCTGTTCTAGCCATACCATGCACGCCTAAACTGGAGATAAATTGACCACATCATTCTCATACTAAACAGATACCATCAACTGCTGAGGCTCTTTGAAGTCAATAGAAAGAACAGTGGCAACCATTACCAGACCACAAACTTTGGCTCAATTCAGAATTTATTTCTTGAGAAATATTCTCATAAAAATGACAAATAACTATAGAAGTAGAAAAGAAAACATCCATTAGGAGACTCACCAATCAAGCAAAGAAGGATAATAGTGGACAAGGCGACTTGAACAGGTCGACTGTATTGCATTTGATATTGGGACCTCTGGAGCTGTCTCTGGATGGCTCCATACCAACCATATAGTTGCTTGTCATAATAATCATCACAACCATCAAGGCAGCTTTTACTCTTCTCATAACATACATTGATGCCCTGCATAAAGGAATGCAGATTCTCTAAAGATCGGCATATTATAGCCAAACAAAATATAGTTAAAAATGAAGACTAAATTTGGACGTTGTTACGGAAAATTAAATACTCACTCTGGTCAGGTTTTGAGTTTGAGGTAATGCATTATCAGCTTCTTGGTGGTGATCCATAAGCTTTAACTTCCTGTAACCATTCTTAGACCACTTCAACTTTGACACAGATGATTCCATCGTATTTAACAACCCTGAAAAGCTAGGTATCTTTCTAGGTGGGGGATCAGGTTGTTCACTAGAGGAACTATGGAGTAAGGCGCCATCAGACACTGCAATATTCCAGGAGCCAATGTCAGCACTGGCACTAGCTGTCCTCCGATGCCCTGGCATCTTCTCCTCCTTAGCCTCCACTCGACCCCACTCCATCAAATTAGCTGAATTCCTCAAACAATCAGCAGTCGTTGACTGTTTACAAGACTCTTGCGAGTACTTCATTCCCTGGTCTATACTATGAATATTGGCCACAATTTTATCCGTGGAAGATGGTGATGGTCCAGAAAGAAATATGGCGAGCTCATTGCGTTCTCCTTCATTTAATTGAACCCAAGGCAATGGTGGCTTGCCCTGTGAGACTGTAGATTCATTTAAAGAGCTTTCAACCTTTGAAATCTGACTCTCAATTGCATGAATGAAGTCCCGGTGCCTATCTTTTGCATCATCAGCTGAATTACTACTAGTATAACTCAAATTCACTGCCCGTTCAAATTCCTCCAACTGCATTAATTAAGCATGCCAATAATCAAGACACTAAAATAATGCTATAAAAAATTTTCACCCTCAGATTTTGGATTAACTATAAACATCAATACCTTCATCAACAACTATACTCAGGACACATCCATGTAAACGTGTGAATGTAGAATACCTAATACCCATGTATGCTTGGAGGGTATGGATGTATGTGTTCATATATACACTTGCTTTTGTAATTAAAATTACATATATGCAGAATACTGACCTGCCACTTCGCAGTGCCGAGGGTAGTTTGGAGATCTCCATGAAGGTCATTGGAATTCCAAACAGCAGAACTATCCTTCTGTGCACGAATCCATGTTCTATAAGTAGATTCCATCCTTTCAAAAAAGTTACAGAATTTCAATTTTTATCGTCACACTACAGTCCCCATATACAAAATCAAACATTACCACATCGAAATTGAAAAACACTGAATGCCTACTATATTTCCGTAACAATAAACTAAACAAATTATTTTCATTACCTGTCGGCAGATTCCTGAACCTCTTCTGCAGCCGAAAAAAAGGGATCTTTTTCCCATCTATCGAAATTTGAAGCCATTTTCCCAACAAAAACAAAGTAGCACTAAAAATATATGTTACAATTTTGAATTTTACACCAAAAACTAAGAAAATTATGAAAAAAAAAAAAAACCCTAAATACTAACTCAGTTAATAGAAATAATAAACTTGAGCGAAATAGGGATACCAGATCAAATTAAAATCTCAATGAGGGAAATAAATGAAAAATAAATGAATCAAAGATTTAATTCAAATTACGGTTTCCTTTTTTCTCTCTTCCTTCCTAATTAACGAAAGAGTTATTGCAGTCGTTCGCGGGCCTCTTTATTAAAAGTAACGGTGTCGTTTCAGTGCCGCGTGTGTTGACCTTAGATTTGGTGTGTGGTCAAAATGAGCATGCAGTTCACACTTTTCAATAGAAGGTTCCTTCCACCAGCCAGAGACAATGACATTTTCCGAATTCTTTTTCTTTTTGATAAATCGACTAAAATTAATTAGTTCAGTTTTATTAATAGAGAAATAAAAATAGTTTATATATATATATAACACCTGTTTGGTACAAATTAAAATTTAATTTTAATCTCAAGTTAAAGTCTACAATTAATTTTAACAACACATTTTATGGGGCTCACAGCTTTTCAATGACACATTCCATTAACTTTTATCAAAATCTACTAAAAATCTGATTTATGCCCTGTCTGGGCGCCATTTTTGGAAGGCAGAAATTCATTTTTGGACCGCCGTAGTCTGATATTTTTGACCCACTCTTTCACGTGTGGGACCTGATGACCTTGGGGCAACGGATATATTTTTGCTGTTAAGTCAAAAGGAAGCTGCACCAAACAGGTGCTTAATCTATAGCAAACAGTGGCTTATTGAACTTAGCCAAACATGCATAGAATGACAATTTAATGACAAATTTGAGTTTTGTAGAGCAAACAACCTGAAGTTATCGATAGGTTTTGCTTTGGGTGTTGAGAAATGATATATTGCACAAAGAGGCAAATTAATAAGAACTCGTTCATTCACTGCATCGACCTTCTACATTTCGCATATAAAGGAAGAACTTTCATTGTTGAGGAAATCAAATACATACAGACCACTGAATGGGATTTTTCAACACTATACATAGGTCCGTAAATTGACAAAAAGCTAAGCTTACATACAATAATTTGTCTTTTGCGATCATTTTTGCAAAGTCTTGTAATGAGTTGATCATTGTAGTTACTTGGGGGAACTCCACCTCTACTTCATTTTGCAAGTGATTACAAGGTTAGAGGTGTCTAGGGGCGGACCCACATCGAGTCATTTGACCCCACAAATAATTTGAGTTTTTTTTTTTTTTTTTTGTTAGAACTTGTGAGAGAAAGAGTGCATGGAGAGAAATAGTCAATTAAGTGGGAATATTATATTATTTAATCAATTAAGTAGTTTGTGTAAAATTATATAAATTCAAATTTTGTTCAACAATTTGGTCTTATAAACTATGTCATTTCTCCTAATATTGTTTTATATTTTTACCATCATTAAATTTATAATCGAACTTTATTTGAGATTGAATATTTCATTTTGCTTATTGATTTATTGAGTTTTAAGCTCATAGATTAGCTAGTTAAGAAAAATATCAATACATATTGCATACTTTAATTTAATGGCCCAAATTTAATGGACGTTTCACTCTGACCTCGATTAAATTTCATCTATACTGAACAATATTCCTGGCTCCTGAGGTGTCCAGACAGACGGGTCGGCCAGACCCATGAAAATCGTCCCGGATCGACCCGAGACCGCAGGTCGACCCGTGACCCAGCGGGCGGTTCACGGGTCAAGGAGGTGTGACCTACGGGCTTTGTAGGTTGCACCTTCACGGGTCGCGGTTAACCCGCTGGCCCGTAAAAAAAAATTAAAAATTGAAAAAAAATGGGAGAGGTGTCAACCTAGTTGGGATGTACTTATATTATAAATATTTGAAAATAGTAATTAGAAATGCATTTAGTTGTTATTTGTTTAAATTATATTTAACTTTACAAAGTTATAAATAATTCATGTAACATTAAATTTGAATTCTATGTAAACATTTTTTGGTATAAATATGAATTTATCATTTTGTTCAATTCTTAGTTTACATTTAACAAAAAAAAAAATTTTTTTGCTATAAATATGAAAAATTCTATATTTTTATAATTTTATTTATATAATAATAATGGCCAAATCGGAACAAACCTCGACCCACGCGACCCATGACCCGCATGGGCTCGACCCGGATGGGTCAACGGGCGGGATTGAGTTGTAGTCCAAAATTTATAGGCCAACCCGGAACTGGCCCGAAACCCATAGCGGGCGGGCTTTTTTTCACACGGACCGTTATCGGGCTCATATGTTGGCCGGCCGATCCGGCCCGGACCACCCGTATTGACACCTCTACTGGCTCCACCCCTAAATATTTGCATATGTTGTTGCAATTTGTTATTTTCCTATAACATTCATTGGATACCACACATTTGGGATTATCGTTGATGACAGTATTATTCTTTCACTTGAAAATTCCAACCGACTTGTTGCAATGGCTAACATGTTCGTTGTTGTTCATATATTGGAAATTATCAGGTAAATCCTTTTTTCGAAAATTTCCTGCTCCGATTTATTCAACGAGTTATATTTTATCGTGTTTATTTATCTTTAGTTTTTGAAAAACTCATGTATATGTCATGTCGGTGTTTGACATATTAAAAAATTGGGGTGTCAGGCAAGACACGATCGAACGCCAATGACTGAAATCTATTATCCTTAGAACGCCTGAGTTTCACTCGAGCGTCCTTAATTTTTGACCCCACAGTAAAAATGATCTGTGTCCGCCCCTGTTGGTGTCTCACTATTTTTATATAGGATTGTAATTCATAGATTTGGATTTGCAGCCACCTCTACAAATATTGTTAGGTAGATAAGATGCTCCTTCAAATAGTAGTGGATTATTTCATTATTCAAGACTATCATACAATAAGGGTGTTGTATCGTGTCATGGTAAAAGTTGCATTTCAAATATGTTAATTTAATTACTCCCTCCATCCCAATTATATAGGCTTGTTTGGTTTTTCACACGGATTAAGAAAACTTATTTAATGTTATTGGAAAATTAATTTTTGCCAAGATCTTTCCTAGTTTACTCCTATTTAATTTTCAGTGGGTAAAACTAAATTATTGTTGGAATTCATAAAGAATTTGAATTTTCAAGAAGTTTGCATATTAAGTGGGGAAAATTTAATAAGGGTATATTAGTAAAAGAACACAATAAAATATTCTACATTAGGAAACAAGCCTATATATTTGGGACAAGAGAAAAAGGAAACCCAGCCTATATAATTGGGACGGAGGGAGTATTTTCAAACTTTTGTCTGTATAATTCGTTGTTCTATGTGATTTTTAATATTATGATCATGAATAACTATTAGACCTTTTAAATATATCATTTGAAAAATTCATGTTATTTGTTGGGATTCTGATTTATATGGAATCATTTGCACATATTTTGGTTTTTGTGTATATTGTGGTATAATGATATGCAGATAAATGTATGCTACCAGGATATTAATGCATAATCTGTTTTTGTAAATTGCTAAATTAGGATGCTCTACATTTTTGTTCATTATGCTTTATTTTTGTTTAAATGTGTAGAATATTTTGTTGGTTATTATAGACGATGATTAAAATTTTCATATATGCTATGTTGCAGTCGAGCATTAGTAATGATTAGATGTTGTCACAAAGTGGATCCTTGATAGAGTTGATAGAAAAATGTGAAACTTAGTTGGTCTATTTATAGTGCCAATCATATTGCCATCTAGGAAGACTGTAGTCGATGATAATAGTATGTGTCATCGTGTTCCAGTTCCAGAAGGCAAATTTTAGACGCTGCTACAATCTAGCATTAGTTCACATTTCATGTATACTTCCTTATTTTGAAAAGAGTATATATCATTTAGTGTTGTAAATGATTGCTACTTCTTAATTCATTACTCATAATACAGTAATGTGCATGATACATTAGTACGTGTTAATAGACAAACGCTAAATAAAATATGTGGTGTCAATGTGGAACTAGAATTATATAATGTTTTAAACGTAATTTGTATTGAGTGCAATTACAAAAAGAATGTGATATATGAACTTGACACTATTTACTCGCTATTTGAGCCACATTTTTTATGAAAATGTGGTTTGGAATAGTAATTTTTTAGGAGAATGTGTGGCTAAAAAACTAAAAAAAAAATCGATTTACATGCAAAATTATTTTATGAGAGAATGTGAGTTGAAAATGAGTTTTAAGAAAATGAGTTTTTGAAAAATGAAAGCCAAATATAGGGTTAAATGCAGCACTAGAATATACAACATCAATGTTATCTTGTAATTCAAAGTCAGGTACATTGCGTATACTCCTGATACGATTAACTTAAATAGATTGTACGGAGATTCAAATTGTGGGACACTTGGTTATTACATATTTCCTTGCATTGAGTCGGGGCATGGAATTAATGGTGTATGACAATTAGAGGAAATTGAAGCCTAAATACCAAGGGCAAAAATTAAAAAGTAAATAACAAGAGTATACATTATCCAGAAGCGAGACGTTGGTAAAATATGGAAATGAAAGTGTTCATAAAATAACTCAGAATTTAACATGCATCCACAACTAGATAGAATCCCTGTCCATATGGCATTGAATAAAATAGTTAGGAAATGAAATGCTAGAACCACAAAAATATTGCCAAATGATGTAGGATAGTCAAATGTCTACATGTTAGTACTTCACAAAAATAAACTAACATAACATGAACTATATATGTTGTTAGGTTTTAGTTATATTGACAATTCTTTAGACAAAAATATTATTGTAAAAGAATAAGATTGTTACAAAAGAGTTGTAAAAGTCAATGAGTCTTTTGGAGGGTTGTATAGATGAATTATGAGTTGTTGGGTTTGAGTATGAAATAAAAAGAAAGAGTTGCCGGATTTATGCTAACTTGTCACCTAGCTGATGCTCGA